GTCTATCTGGGTGTACTTTGTTACTTAAAGTGCTGTACGTGTTATTATAGTTATTAATAAGCAAAGACATCTCAGCTCTAGAAACACTCCATGCCTGTTGCAGCTATAAAAAGACATATTTTTTTGGACACGTACGTCTTACAAAGCAGAATAAATGCAAATGACGATAGCTTTTTTATCCTGGATAAAGTCTATAAACACCTGGAGAAATCCAACTCCCATGTTAGACTTTTATTAGCTGACTTCTGCTCCGCTTTTAATAAGATGCAGCCCCATATTTTATCGAGAGGCTTACTTCTTGTTTTAACTTGCCCGACCAGCTTTTAAACCTGTTTTTAAATTTTTTAACATACAGGACACAACAGGTTTTTGTTAATGGTATCGTATCAAAAACTCTGGTTTCCAACACAGGTTCCCTGCAGGGTTGCGTCCTTTCACCGTTGCTTTTCATCTTATACACAGATAGCTGCAGGTCCTTTAAAGAGGACAGTTTCCTCGTTAAATTCTTGGATGACACCGCTCTGCTGACACTTCTCCAGGGAGCAGCATCGGACCATGGACGTGCACTTTCTGATTTTGTTAAGTGGTGTGAAGACAGTTTCCTTGATCTAAACCAAGGAACTGGTCATTGATTTTAGAAAAAATAAAGCCAACACCACGGCCAGCTTTATTCACGGTGAGGACGTTGAGATTGTCAACTCATACAAATATTTGGACACTGTATTTGACTCACAACTTAAGTTTGATATAAACACACACTTAGTTGTTAAACGGGCCCATCAGAGGATTCATTTACTGCAGAGGATCTCCTCTTTCGGTGTTTCAAAACCTATTCTGTGGACTGTGTATCTGTCTTATATTGTAGAGTCTCCTTACTTTTTCTTTCATTTGTTGCTTCAGCAGTCTGACAGTGAAAGACAGGAACAACCTAAACAACATTGTAAAAGTCTGCTCCAAAATTGTTGGCACAAAATGATCAGACTTGAACTCTCTCTGGGAGGAACGTGTCCTCCAAAAGGCAAAAAACATAATAAATCAAGATCATGTCTTGGGTGGAGAATTCACCCTAATGCCATCAGGGCGACGTTATCTGCAGCCTGCTGAATGCAGGGTCACTGTGATTGCAGTATCTGCTATGTGCAATAGGCCTATTTGGCTCTATTTTTATTTATTTATTTATCTCTGATTCTTGGAACTCATTGATGAAATATATTGAGTCGCTTCTTTTTAAGCAGTAGTTGTTAGGGTTCCTTCATGTCATGCTCCCTCTGACACCTACTGTAAATCATGTTGTGTGAATATTTTATGTGTTGTCGGTGGACTGTAGGAACTGAATTGCCCTTCGGGGATAAAGTTTTTCTGTATCTGTAGCTCAGATTAAACTAACCAAAACTTAACATTTATCTGTAGTTTGAAGAGCAGGTCATACTACGCGGATTTCTTCTTGCTGTGATTTAAAGGGGAACGACGGCCATTTTTAAATTCATACATGTTATTGTAATGATCAAGGACAGTCCAAAAAATCGAAGTGAACATGATCAACTCTCTCTCAAATCCAAAACTAAAGTGCTGAAACTCAAATGTGAAATGTGTGATGTCACAGGGTATAAAGTCAGGAGCTGCTCCACAGACAGTGAATCGGGAAAGATGTCTAGATGAGACTGAGAGCGCTCAGGAGAACATTCTGAGTATACAGGGACATTTTCTGTTACAGGACTGAGAACACCACAGTGTGATAAAGCTTATTTGGGAATAAAAAAAGACAACAAACACACTGTGGGTCCACAAAATCAGTCCCCCACTCATTGTCTACAAAGCAGCTCCAGACTTTACACCCTATGACATCACAGTTTGAGACTCACTTCTCTGGTGTCTGGCTTTGACAGAGAGTCGCTCATGTTCACAAATACTGATTAAACTTTACAAGGCCATGGAAAGAACATACTGGTATTCTTAATTTAGGTGGTGTTCCTCTTTAATTTGGCATGACTGCACCAGTGAACACAGGGGAGCAGGGGAGGACAGTAACTGAGCACATTTACTCAAGTACTTTAGTATGATTTTGAGGCACTTGAACTTTGAGTATTTCCATTTATTTTATGATACTTTAAACTTCTACTCCTCAATATTCATCTAATAATTTGAATTAAAAGTTTTACAGATTCAGATTAATACAAAATATCAACATCAAAGCTATGCATCAGTACATGAAGTCATCACAATGAGCTCCAGCTTTACCAGCTGCAACATAAAGTGATGTGCACACAAATGCACCACTTACTACTTGTAACAGTATTCCTACACTGTTTTATTGATACTTAATGTTAAGTAAAAACATCTGACTTCTTCTTCCTCCACTACAAGTGGTATGGTTTATAATGCGGAGTAAATAGCATGCAAATGATAATACCTCATATTAAACTGAGACCAAAACTTTGCTGCATCAATCTGTTGTCTGAAAAACATGTAATACAGCATAAAATGTGCTGCAGATTTTTCCTGCAGTGACTTAATTTAGCACTTCTGCACAAGAGAACAGAAGGGGAGCAGCTGTGGAAAGTACAGTACATCTACTGCTTTTGAGGTACTAATTGAGTATTTCCATTTTATGATACTTTATTCTTCTACTCCACATTACAGAGAGAAATATTGTCCTTTACTTCAATACATTTATCTGATAAACTCAATTACTACGTTACAGATTCAAAATAATGCAAATCAACAAATGGAATAGATATCTAGATAAAGCTACACATCAGAATAGAATAAAAACTATTATAAAGATTATTCTTTTATAGCATGAAGGCAATAAAATGCTTTTATTAGATTGGACAAATTGAGCGTGAAAGTGGGAGAGAGACGGGATGAGATGCAGCAAAAGGCTGATAATCTGAATCAAACCCACAGCAGCTGCAGCAAGGACATCACCTTTGTACACGGGGCACCTCCTCCACAGGTGAGCTACTGGGCACCCCATAAAAAGTAATTAATATGAGCTGCAGGTTTACAAGATGCAACATTAAAGTGATGAACACATTAATGCATCACTTACATAATCCACTAGTAGAGTATTTATGATTCTGAAATGGGCCACTCATCATAATGAATACTTTTACTTTTGGTACTTGGACTTTTACTTGTGGCAAAGTGCTTCTACACTGTGGTATCGTTTCTTAAGTAAAAGATTTGAGAACTTCTACCACCACTACATGTAGTATGTCTTGTTAAACATAATAAATTGCATGCAAATGATGATACCGCAGACCAAACTGCATCAATCTGTTGTCTGAGATGCATGAAATAAAGCATGTAATGTGGTGCAGATTTTTCTTGAATTTAGCACTACTGCACAAGGGAACAAAAGGGGAGCAGAGGTGGAAAGTAACTAAGCACATTTACTCAAGTACTTTTGTACAATTTTGAGATAGTTGTCTTTAATTGAGTGTTTCCATTTTATGACACTTCCTCTACTCCACATTTCAGAGAGCAATACTGTCTTTTTACTCCACTACATGTATCTCATACATGTAATTACTAGACACTAAACAGGCTCATATCTTTAATACAAAAAATATTCTCAACAAATATATCTGTAACACTTTCTTTGCTGGTCTTCATAGAGTGTGTTGCCAATATAGTATTAAAGATGCAGCCACCCAGCAGCATACAAATCATTCAAAACTAGCCCCACCTTTACCACATGAATGCATCACTAATAATATCCAATAATAAAACATTTATGATGCTGAAATCGACCATTCTGTCTAATGAGTTCACTTGGGGGTTTCTTGTGGTGATACTGTGGTATTAACGCTCTATCTTAAATAACAATATCTAAGTACTTCCTCACATCTGCACATAATGTGTTATAAAGCAGAATAGAAACCATGCAAATAATGATACCTCAGATTAGATTAAAACCGAAACATTGCTGCATCAATCTGTAGTCTGAAAAGCGTGTAATAAAGCAGAAATGTTGTGCAGATTTTGCTGCTGTGATTTAATTCAATGCTTCAGCTGATCACAACACAGGGAAGTGGGTTAACCAAGGCTAGCTTAACATCCCATGGCTACAACAGGTACCGTGATCTGGAGCGGATACAGGTTAGCCACACAGTTACAGCTAGCTAGCTTTGCTGAGGAAAATGGGAATATTAAAGACTACATCACAGTTTAAATACAGCATATTTATAGGTTGAAACCTGGTGAATAATCGTGTCAAACGTGCAGCTTATGTTGGTATTAGCCGCCCAGTTAAAGAGCTAACTGCAATGCTAGCGCCAACAAAGTAACAGCAAAGTAGTTATAACCTCAAGCTAGCTTGAAGGGTACAACTGCAGTGTGGAGTTAGCTAATATTGGAGCAAAATGCTGCCAAACTATTTCTCAATGCTATGATAATGTTTCCTGCATTAACGTAGCAGTTAGCTAGTGTTAAATGCTTTACAAATGCACTCAGTGTGTGCTAATTGTCATGCTAGCAGCTAGCCGGCTGCTAATGCTAACGTAGCCTCAGCTAGCATTAATGGTAAATCCGACGGAGGACGGAACCTTAATCTGTCACTCACGGGACCAAAGCTTAACATTACGGCACTTTACACCTATAACACGCTGCTAACCGCTTCATGTTCAATATATATCCACCCACAGAAGTCATGCTAATTAAATTAATATGTAAATTATCTGTGAGCAAGCAGCGCAGCCCTTTTATGTAACTCATTTTCATTAAGAAGCTAATTATCCCCTGTGCTGCTACCACTCAGCGGCTAACGTTAGCTTGCACTAGCAACGCCTAAAAAAGACCGGTGTGTCCCGTTATCCACGTCCTGATCCACCCCGCTCAAAGCCGCCTCCTAGCGGGCTGCAGCCCGGTCAGATGCAGCGACACACCGCACCAGACGACACACACATGTTCCCTCCTCAGTAACGAGCTCTAACATAGATGAAAACGAGCCTCTAAATGAAGCAAAAGATGTTTTTTAAAAAGCACTTCAGACTCACTATTCCTTGATGAGCACCATCTTCGTCACCCGGGCTGCGCCTGCGCACTGGGAGTGGACACCAGATAGAATTATCAACAAGTTCGTTCCACCCTCCAGGAGGAATCTGATTGGCTGATAAATCCACACCACTGTCCGTTACACTGGCTCATGTGCTGTATTCATCATGTTCTCTACACACACTGATGGAGGAGTAACTCCTTTAGGGACTGTTCGATATTCATGATGGAGGAGGAGGTGGTGCAATAAAGAGGCATGTCAAATATCTATCTGTGCGTGCAGTTCCCACACTACCATATTATATAGTATGCCAGAAAAAAATCTATTTTAAACAAATATTGTATCAGTATAAAGTGGAAGAGGTATAAATTATACAGTCACTGTGATGATTCAAGTTTATTTTGGACAGATATGCGAGACTTTACAAACAGGAAAATGGGCACAAATATACAGATTAAAGTGTCCGATGTGATGTTACATTTTGTGTGTGATGGGATGGATTCAACTTCTGATCATTCATTCATTTTCAATAACCACTTATCCTGTTAGGGGTCACAGGGCTGACACACAGAGACAGACAACCATTCACACTCACATTCACACCTACGGACAATTTAGAGTCACCAGTTAACCTGCATGTCGTTGGGCTGTGGGAGGAAGCTGGAGCACCTGGAGGAAACCTACGTTGACACAGGGAGAACATGCAGACTCCACACAAGGGGCCTCCCCCACCCTGGGTTTGGACCAGGAGCCCTCTTGTGACAATGTGAGGCAACAATGTTAACCACTGCATCACCGTGCCGCCCAGTTTCTGATCATTCTTGCTAAATTCCATATCCAAATGGTCTGACTCCAAACCCCGTAACCGGTTTCCTGTTGAACTCAGAGCAATATGGCACAATATTTTCTTTGAACTGTGAAAGGGCTTGATATGAATGGACTTGTAAGACATCTGGCATGATGTTGTTTTGTTGTATGACAATTGTTCTGTACCTCTTTGTTTAGAATGTCTATATATTCATTTCTATATCTATCTATCTATCTATCTATCTATCTATCTATCTATCTATCTATCTATATCGACAGACAGACAGACAGATAGACCCACCAACCGACCGACTGACCGATAGACAGACAGACCCACCGACCGACAGATAGACAGACAGACCCACCGACCGACCTACAGACAGACCGACCGACTGACAGATAGACAGACAGACCCACCGACCGACCTACAGACAGACCGACCGACTGACAGATAGACAGACAGACCCACCGACCGACCTACAGACAGACCCACCGACCGACAGATAGACAGACAGACCCACCGACCGACCGACAGACAGACAGACAGACCCACCGACCAACCGACAGACAGAGAGACCAACTGACCGACCGACCGATAGAAAGACCCACTGAACGACCGACAGACAGACAGACAGACCCACTGACCGACCGATAGAGAGACAGACCCACTGACTGACCGACAGATAGACAGACAGACAGACAGACCCACCGACTGACCGACCGACAGACAGACCCACCGACCGACCGATAGACAGACAGACCCACTGACAGACCGACAGATAGACAGACAGACCCACCGACTGACCGACAGACAGACCCACTGACCGACCGATAGACAGACAAATAGACCCACCGACCGACTGATAGACAGAGAGACAGATAGACCCACCGACAGATAGACAGACAGACCCACTGACTGACCAACAGACAGACCAACAGACCGACACACATATCCAGTCTGGACCCTTCTTAAAGAGTCATACCTGGTCGGACGTCGCCTTTGTCAATAGGATCCACATCAGGTGTTGAGGAACCAGCCTGATGAGAAATGGGCTACTGGAACAAGACATAGATGGACTAGAGCAGAGAATGTATATATGTGTATATATATATATATATGTATATATATATATGTATATATATATATGTGTGTGTGTGTGTGTGTGTGTATTAGCCCAGCACCTGCTAATGTATGCTCACCTTTTTTCTCTCCAGCCAAATGATCCAGAGTCTCTTCCTCTCCAAAACAAACAGATCAGGATGTCATTTATAAAACAGCGTGTAGGATCCATACTATGAATGAACGTACTGACAAAAGCCAAAAATGGCGTGTGCCAAAAAAAAACCTCAACAATTTCTACAACCAGGCCTCTCCTATCAAATCTGTTTCTATTTACCACAAATTTTCCTTGGGAAGTGACGTACACTTCATTCAGGCCTCGTTTTGTGCACGCAATGTTTATAAATGGTGATTAAGCCTGGTAAAAACACTGAATAAAGCAGCTTCATGCTACAAATCAGTGTTTCTCCGATGTGTTTGGCATGTCAGAGACAGGCTGTTCGCCTCGCACCTGTTCATGTGTGCTCATCTTTTTTCTCTGATAATTTAAGAACTAGACATTCAGGAGATTTTTACTAGGAGCTGGATTATCCACAGAGATCTCCTCCTCTCCGAAACAAACAGACCAGCTGATTTAAACCAGTAAAAACACTGAATAAAGACGTTTCATGTTAAAAAAATGTGTGTTTTGATAACGCTCTCTTCATGGTGGTCGACACAAAGACGTGAATGTCCCTATCTAGAGCCAGTGTTTGACTTGTCTGATTGTAAAAACATGGTGGTGCATCATTTTTTATTTGTCTTGAGAACTGAGATATTTCTAAATCGTAGTCTGGCACCGCTGCAAACATTGTACATTATAAAGTCACCATCACACATGAAATCAAGTCTCCATAAAAAATATCAAAATGTTTTCCTCACGTCCTCCTTTAATTGTCTTTATAAAATGTATAATAACGACTGGAAAACACAGCTTACTTTACAAAATAAATGACGACAATAAGCATCGATAATAATGACATTTAACAATAATTATTACACAATAAATCAAATTCAGGTCAACTTGCACAAACATAGCGAGCATTTAGGCTGACGTAAAATTGTTCTCCTTTTCTCAGGCGTTCAGTCGACAGGCTGTGAGTACAGTACATGGAGGCATTGACACACATGCTCTCTAGTCAGTCATGAAAACACATTTACAGCCAGAGACTCGACACTTCTCTACGAGTCATCTTGTCCTTCCAGCTCTCCCCAGAAGAAGGCACAGTCATCACATTTAAAACTTCCCTTCACAAAAAAGTGGTGACGTGTAAAATCACCGTCAGTATCAAACAGTACTTTTTTATCCTAGTCTTCAGCAGGTATTGCTAAAAATGTCGTGTGTAGCTGACAAACGGACAGCTTCTGTCAAAGTACAAACACCAAGAAGGAAGCAGAGGAGAGGGACAAACATGGCGACTCTCAACATTTAGAGGATGGAAAAAAGTGTCCAGGTGAGAGGAACTTGTAGCCGTTCCCAGAGGGAAGTTTGATGCCTCCTTTGGAGTTAGACGGAGGAGGCGGAGGAGGTTTAGCCTCAAGTTTTTGGTGACTGTTCGGTCTGTCGCCAGCGTCCTCAGACCCATCGCCGTTTTTGCAAACAGAATCATGTCGAGGTGAGAGATTAAGCAAACCCAAAACATCTTTCTGAACTGTACTCATTTTTTTATTCCCACCTCGGAGTAAACTGGCGGGGCAGGGCACCTCGTGTTTCTGGCCGGGGTTGGACCAGAAGGTTTTTAAGTTATGAATGGCCTGGACTTTGTTGTCCCGTTTGGACTGGCTGAGTTCAGGAGTGTTCGCGGGGCTGGAGGAGGCTGAGACGGATCCTGTGGAGGAATAGGAAAGGGCTGGCGACGGGGCGCTGTCAGCAGGAGAGTGGGAAGGTGAGATGTGGGCGGTGTAAGGTGAGGTAGGGTATTTCAGTTTGAGCTGAGCCTGCACATGCACATCTGAGGAGACAGCGGGGAAAGGTGAGCTGTGCTCTTTCACAGCGAGAGATAAAGACGGAGAGGAGTGAGCGGGGCTGTTGTAGCCGGAGCTGATTTTCTGCAGCGATGAGGAGCGGGATGGAGGTTTGGGTCGAGTTGGGGGAGGGGTAGAAACAGAGGTGGACAGAGGTGACAGATGACAGGAGAGGGAGAGAGGAGAAGAGCACGCCTTTAGGCTGGCTCTGCTGGGAGGTCTGCTGAACGCACTGGTCTCAGAGGGCTGAAAGCCTCGTGCTCCTCCGCTGGGAGTCAAAGTGGGGGTTGAGGGAGTCGAGAGAGAAGGCTGCCTGACGCGTGCCTCCTCTCTCCCCTCAGTTCCCCTCGGTTTCTTCCCTCTGTTTGCTTTCTGCAGGCTCTCCACAGCCTGCATGTGGCTCTGGGTCTCTTCCAGAATCTTCTGGGCCAGCTCCTGGGGATCCAACTGTCCCGCAGGCACCGTCCTCTCCTCCTGGGACTTGACCGTGCTGTCTGTCTCCGTGCTCGACTGGTCCGACTCAGAGCTGCTGACCTTTCCTTTGCCCGTCCTCTGAGGAGATGAGCTGGGAATAAGAATATTAAAGTTACAAATTATCTCGTCAGAGCATTTTTAGAAAGGACAGCATCAATCTTTCTGACAATAACTCTGAACTTACATTTCCTGTTTAGGTTTGGGGCTGGTGGGAACGTTGAGGGGCGGGGGCGGAGCTTTAATTGGAGACGTAGGTGTGCTGATGCTTCCTTTGGAGGAAACTGTAATCGGGTACCCATGACCCCCTGCAGACCCTCTGCCTGCACCACCTCTACCGTGTCTGTGTCCCGCAGGAAGTGGCAGCGTGTCACAGTCCCTCCTCCCTCGTCCCAGCGGCTCACTGCTGATAATGGAGTACCCTTCATACTCCTCTTCCTCCCCTTCTCCTGCTAATCCTCCTCCCTGATTGGTCAGTCGACCTCTCGCCAGGCCGCCTGAGTGGCGGTGCGAGGGGTAGAGTCCTCCCCCCCCTCCTCGAGGTCTCTCCAGCTCCGGCTGATGTGCTGAGCGCTGGCTGATGATGTCACTTCCCGCGGGCTCGGGTCGGGACAGGAAGCTGAGGGAGGAGGCGAGGGAGCTGAGGCTGTAGACGGAGATGGCGTCGCAGGAGAGGTTGTCGGGGCAGACCGGGGGTAAG